GTTAATAGTAATTAACCATGTACACTTAAGTTAATTATCTTATTTCATTGATAGGGTTAGTGTGTTTGGACGGCAGCCAGAGGTATATAAGGTTGTGGCGGCCTCCTTTTGTATCCTAAGGATTCCGGTGAAATTAAATAAATTGACTCCGAGAGGTTGCTACTCTCTGTGGATTAGTCTCAACGATATTCGTTGAGCATACCACGTTAATCCGGTGTTTTCTTCTTTCGGTCTATAGTTTGACATGGTATCAGAGCCTCTCCAACGCCTTTCAGACTGATTTGGTGGTGTTGCGTTTTGGTGTTCTTGGTTCGGCGGTATTGCTCTTAAGTTCGGGTTTGTCTCTTCTGCTATTGGTTTCTCTGGTTTTTCGATTCTTATTCTCAACATGGATGTCTCTAAGGTTGATGTTGTTTCTATTCGGTTCAATGGCAAGAACTTCCCGTTATGGGAATTTCAGTTTCGCGTGTTTGTTCAAGGTCGCGGGTTGTCCGCAATTCTGGATGGTACTTCTGCGGTACCAGCTGAGACCGCGCCTGCGAAGGAACATGTTGATTGGGCCATCAACAACGCCCAAGTTATTACTTGGCTAGTGGCCTCGGTTGATCTTGCCATCGGTCTTAGTCTTCGGGGGTTTTCTACATCTTATGAGATGTGGTGTCATCTTCGGGATCTTCATTCTCACGCTAGCTAGCGCTTCCAGGAAATTTGAATTGGAATATGATATAGCTCGTTTACCGCAGGGTGATCCTGATGTTCGATCATATTATCAAAAGGCCCTCAATTTGTGGACTGAACAGGAATTGTTGACTACTTCCTTGGTGTCCGCTGCAACTTCGGTGGAGGTGTTACAAGAACGCTACAGTTTGCGGTTGATGAATTTTCTGATGAAGCTCCATCTCGAGTTTGGGGGAATTCATGCCTCTTTGATCCATCGGAACGTGACGAAGTTTGAGGAAGTCTTGGCTGAGCTTATCCGCGAGGAGACGAGGTTGCGTAGTCAAGCCCAATTAGACGTCCATCAAGCTGAGTCCTCCGCTTTTGCGGTTGCTTCAACTACCGCTGGTAAACCTGCTTCTTCTGACTCCTCGACGTTTGATGTTTCTTCATACCGCCCCAAATTCTAGTGTGTTTCTCTGACTGAGGTCATATGTTACCAGTGTAAAGAACCTGGGCATGTCCAGTTACATTGTCCCAAGCAAAACTCTTGCAACTACTGCAAGGCTACCGTCACAAGATAGGGGACTTCCCTATTCTCGCCAAGCGTGGGCGTGCTCTTCCACCCAGTTTTGCCGGCTCTCGCCCTCCTCCTACTGGAACTGCTTATGCGACAACAGTCGCCCCACCCGATGGTTCCTCCTATGTTGGCCACGTTTCTCAGGATGATATTAATCGCATGGTTCAGCTCGCAATCAGAGAAGTCCTTCCTTCTTCTCTTGGTCTTGTTTTCTCTACGGGTATTACTTCTTCCTCTCCCATGACTTGGCATCTTGATTCTGCGGCCTTTAATCATATGACCAACTTACTTTCATCATTTCCTATTCTTCGTCAAGGTTCTTCGGTTACACTACAAGTGGTCGATGGCTCGTGCTTGCCTGCCTATGGCGTTGGCCACGTAGTTCACAAGGGGTTGCATCTCTCTGATGCGTTATATGTTCCCAAGATTCTTCCTAGCCTTGTGTCGGTGGGACAGTTAACAGAAGAGGGTTGTCGAATTATTTTTGACGCTCATGGTTGTCGTGTGTAGGAAATGAGCATGGGGAGAGAGGTCGGCTGGGGGACTAAGTTGGGTCGGGTCTTCACGTTGGATAGTTACTCACGCCCGCAGGGAGGGGATGATTCCATGGTTCGGGGAGGTGGCGTGGTGGTTGTTCGACTCAAGGAAGAACCACTTTGTCTAATTGAGAGTTATGGCACTGTCGGTTAGGTCACTCACCCTCATTTTGCGAGACTACAGGATATGTTTAAGAAACGTTTTCTATCGGGTAGTTTTGATTCGGATTCTTCTCATGTTTGTGTTCATTGTATGGAGGCTAAACTTTCTCAACAATCTTTTAGCCCGAGTACTACGGTTTATTCAGATCCTTTCGATTTAGTCCATACAGATTTATGTGGGCCTTCTCTTATTAATTCTCGTGTGGGTTTCAGATATTTTGCTATGTTTGTTGATCATGCCACCAAGTTTACTTGGGTTTATTTCCTACGACAGAAATCTAATTTGTTGAATGTTGCTAGAGAATTTTTTTCAAATGATCCAAACTCAGTTCAGTCGTAGTGCGAAAATTCTTCGCTCAGATCCTGGTAGTGAGTTCACATCTGGTCCTTTACAGGAGGTGTTTAAAGAGCGGGGAATTCTCCCACATCAGTCTTGTCCCGGCATATCTCAGCAGAATGAGCTAGTTGAGTGAAAGCATCGGCATGTTCTAGAGCTAACTCGAGCACTCTTGTTTCAGTCCTGCATTCCATATAACTTCTGGGTTGAGGTTGTTCATATGGTCGTATATCTTATTAATCGACAAATTATTCTGGTCTTGTCTCAACGGAGTCCTTTTGAATCCCTCTACGACAAATTACCCGACTACAGCAAGCCATAGGAGTTTGGGTGTGTATGCTATGTTCTCCTTCCGCGACGTGAACGCAATAAGCTTTCTCTAAAAGCGGCCAAATGTGCATTTGTCAGTTACAGTCCCAAACACAAGGGATTTGTATGCTACGACGTTGCTCATTGTCGCACGCGAATCTCTGGTCATGTTGAATTCTTGAAAAACTTGATGTATTATAGCCATTTCGAGAAAGACCCTCGCCCGGACATGGATTTTTTGTTCCCCTCAGACATCTTTTCTGCTCGGCCCCCTCCTGCTGACCCTGGCACCAGTCCTTCCCCTCCTGACTCTATGGACCTAGCACCGACTCCCTCTTCTCGGGTCTCTTCGGCCAGCACGCACGTCTACAGCAGTCCAGCTACTTCTTCCGCTTCATCATCCTCCCAAGAATCCTCCTTCGGGTCTGGCTCGCAACATGGTGGTTCTCTTCATCAGGGAGCTCTCTCCTCGACGACTGGTTCCTCGGCTTCCTCGTCCACGACAATCTCCCCTTACGATTCTTCAGGTCCTCTCTTGGTCGATGACGACGCTCTCCAGCCTCGTTGTTCGTTGAGAGCCAACAAGAGAAAACGTCCCTCTCACCTCTACGACTTCGTGGCCTTTTCCACCCAGTCCATTCCCAGTCTAGCGACATACAAACAGGCGCATGGGAATCCTTTTTGGGACGATGCCATGCAAGTCAAAACTCAAGCGCTTGAAGCTCAGGGAACGTGGGAAGTGGTGCCTCGCCCACGTGATCATCCAGTTCTGGGATCCAAGTGGGTTTACACGATCAAGGTCCATCCCGATGGGACTAGAACACAGGTTGTAGCACAGGGGTTAAAACACGAATTTGGCATCGACTATGAAGAAACCTTTGCACTGGTTGCCAAGATTCAAACGGTTCGTACCTTACTCACAGTTGTTGCTATGCGTGGTTGGAGTTTGAGGCAACTGAATGTGAAGAATGTGTTTCTTCATGGTGATCTTAAAGAAATGGTCTATATGGAATGCCCTCCGGGCTATCTTTAGGGTGATAAATCTAAGGTATGCTTGCTTCGCCGTTCCCTCTACGGTTTAAAACAGGTACCTCGTGCCTGGTTCAAGAAGTTTCAGACTACTATCCTGGAGGCTGGATTTATACAGAGTGGCAATGATCCGTCACTATTCCTTCATCAGACTTCGCGTGAACTTACTATTCTTCTTATTTATGTCGGTGATATGGTGATCAGTGGTGACGATCAGGAGGGAATTCAGCTTCTTACACAGACCCTCCATGCGTCGTTTAACTTGAAGGAGCTGGGTGATTTGTCTTATTTCCTTGGTCTCGAAGTTAACCGCTCGTGTGTCGGGTTACTGGTTTGTCACTCTGATTCGGTTATACACGGATAACACTAGTGCTATTCTCATTGTCGCTAATCCTGTGTTACATGATCGTATGAAACATATTGAGGTGCATGTTCACTACATCCGCCAGTTGGTGACTGGAGGTCAGGTGGAGCTGACCTACATTACTTCCGAGGACTAGACGGCGGATCTGTTGACTAAAGCTATTGCTACAGCTTGACATTGGTTTCTGGCGTACAAATTGATGTTGTGTAAGCACCATCAATTTGAGGAGGGTGTTAGAAGTTATTGGAGTTAATAGTAATTAACCATTTACACTTAAGTTAATTACCTTATTTCCTTGATAGGGTTAGTGTGTTTGGACGACAGCTAGAGGTATATAAGGTTGCTGCTGCCTCCTTTTGTAACCTAAGGATTCCAGTGAAATATGTTGACTCCGAGAGGTTGCTCTTCTCCGTGGAATAGTCTCAACGATATTCGTTGAGGATACCACGTTAATCCGGCGTTTTCCTTCTTTCGGTCTATAGTTTGACACAATAGTCTTCAACCAATAGTAAGTTAGAATTGTGATGATTTTTTATTAGTTAAGTTGACCTAATGTAAAATCAAAGCAAGGATATAATTATCATTAAAATATTATGTTTAAATAAAAAATTAATAATAAAGAAATTAATTATTTAAAAATATTTTTTATTTTATGTCCAAAATTTCGTCACCGAAATTCGGTTGCCGGTCATACAGATAATTATTTTTATTATGATTTTTTACACCTGATTACTTTTGATTTCGGAATGGTTACAGTTTTGAAATTGTATATTGAAAAGCTTACCCAACCCAAACAAGTTGTCTTACCCACGCAGCATAGCAAAGTGCAACCCTTTGATGCGTCCCCTTCAAATTTTCAATACCCCAAGCCCTTCAGTCTGTGGCTCATACATGTATAATCAACGAATGGCTCATGCCACAGACGATTTAATATATTCATTAACATACAAAAGACAGGACAGCCAAACGACTCACGGCCGGTCGTCAACTTTATTTCAACCAGGCATAGTTAATTGGTGAAGTGATCTACAGACGACTGAGCTTGGAAGATCCCATCTGCTTGGCAGACTCTCTGAGCAAGTACTTCTGAATCTTCCCGGTGGAAGTCTTGGGCAACTCATCCTTGAATACCACCGTCTTGGGCACCATGTAGCGCGGCATCTTCGCCCTGCAGAACTCAATCAACTCCTTCTCCGTCGTCCCCGCCTGCTTTAAACTCACAAACGCGCACGGCGTCTCCCCCCAGTACTCGTCCGGCCGCGCCACCACCGCCGCCTCGTTCACCGCCGGGTGCCCGTACAACACCGACTCCACCTCCACGCTGCTAATATTCTCCCCTCCGCTAATTATCACGTCCTTGGACCGGTCCCTTATCTCCAGGTACCCATCCGGATGCATCACCCCGACGTCGCCGGTGAAGAACCACCCTTCCTCCGTCATGCACTTGGCCGTCCCGATCGGGTCTTTCAAATAGCCCAGCATCACGCACCCACCCCGAAGGACCACCTCGCCCACCTCCGACCCGTCCCGCTTCACGCGCCTGCCCGAGTCCGGATCCACCACCTCCACCTCTGTGAACCCGGCGGTCCGCACCCCTTGCCTCGATTTCAGCCTCGCCCTCTCCGTCGCCGGGTATCGATCCCAATTCCTCTTCCACGCGCACGACACCACCAGCCCCGCTGTCTCCGTCAGCCCGTAGCCATGCCCCACCACGAACCCGAGCGACTCGGTCCTCAGCAGCACGGCGGCAGGAGGCGGAGCCCCTGCCGTCAGGATCTGGACCGGGTTGGGAAGTGGCTGATTGCCTTCCCCGTTGGTGAGCATGTTGAGCACCACGGGAGCGCCGCACATGTGGGTCACACGGTGGCGCGTGATAAGCCCGTAGATGGTCGGCGCGTCGACTTTCCGGAAGCAGACGTTCGTCCCGCCCACCGCGGCGATTCCCCAGGGGAAACTCCAACCGTTGGCGTGGAATATGGGCAGGGCCCACAGGTAGACAGGCTGCTTGGGAACGGCCCAGTCGATCAAGGAGGCCAGGGTCACGACGAATAATCCTCTGTGGGAGTGGACCACGCCTTTGGGTGCGGACGTGGTCCCCGAGGTATAATTCAGCACCGCCGGATCCCACTCGCTCCTGGGCCGGATCCACTGAAACCCCGGATCGCCCTTGCCGACCAGATCTTCGTAGGTAGAGAAAAAGTCAAGGGTGAGCAGCGAAGCCTCCTCCGCCGGCTCATCCTGGTCGGTGATGAGGACGAGCCTGGGACGAGCCGATCCGTCGGGAAAGAGAGAGAGAGCTTCAAGGATGAGGCGGCGGGAGAGGCAGTCAACGAAGACGAGCTTGGATTCGGAGTGAAGGAGAAGGACGGAGATTGTGCGTGGATCGAGGCGGGTGTTGAGGTTGTTGAGTATGGCACCGGACATGGGAACCGCGAACTGTAGCTCGTACATGGCCGGGACGTTTGGAGCGAGGACGGAGACGACTTGGCCCGGGAGGATGGCGAGGGAGGAGGAGGTGAGTGAAGAGGCGAGCTGGAGGCATCGGCGGTGGGTCTGGGACCAGGTGTAGGTGGTGTCGTTGTAGATGATGGAGGCGCAGTCTCCGTAGACGGTGGCGGTGCGGTCAAGGAAGTTGAGGGGAGTGAGCGGGGAAGAGTTCGCTGCTCTGGGCTTCAGCTGTTCCATTTTTCCCGGCGATGGGATCTGTGATGGATGAGGGGTGGAGGATAAGATCGACTCAAGTCAACTTGAATTAGATAAATGAGAAGAGAGAGAGAGAGAGAGAGAGAGAGTAGCGAGATAAGTTAAAAAATGGGTAGCGCAAGTTTTTGGGAGTTTTGCGATAAATTAACCAATGGCTGGTTGATGTTACTGCTTAGGGATAAATAACGACTTTTTGAAAAGCAATTACTAATTACTGAACTGAAGCATATGCATCTCCATTTCTCAACTCAAACCGATAAGGTGCAAAATGTAAATATATAGATTTAGAGGTGGAACCTTTCGTGCTTAATTATCCTCGTAACACAACTTATCACTTAGTACAAAACAATTATTAAAGTTTAATTTTGCACATTTCAATAAAATAAATTTTTTTCAAAATCAGGGGTAATAAGTTCAGTCATACAGAAGAAATAAGAAGAGAGCGCGGGAGTCGACCAATAGTCGAACTCCTGATGAGAGGGTTTTTTTTTGCCACATGATGGGCGGCCCTATTAAGTCGAAGAAAAACAAACAGAAATTAATCTAGCTGAATTGTGACGATAAGTGACGAGCGTCTTCTAGCACAGCCCCACCTCGATCATGTGCGAAGTCTCCTTCCACCATCCGTCGTATTAATTGTTAAGAGTCCCCATGAAATTTGACAGAAACAAAATCATGGGTCAAGCACCATTGTAGAGCATCTCTTAATGCTAAACATTCCATAACAAATGGATCATGTATCCCTTCATACCATTTGCCAAACGCAAAGAGGATATTACTGATGCCTGGAAGTGGAACCCTACAAAGCCAATGCTTCCTCCTCGATCTCGTTTAGTCGCCCCATCGAACCAAACAGAAATTGCATTTGCGGGGATTCCATTTCCAGCAGCCAGGGTTCTGGCAGTAGGGCTGTGTGTTTGGCCGTTGTCCCTACGACGCAGACTAGGTGGAGTTTGACCAACTGACCTCCACTTGCCTATGGTATTGGCGGAGTAAAGTGTGAGGAAGATATTGGATATGGCCATGTACCGACCAGCACCTGTCCTTCCAAATTTGCCAGAGAATAAAGATCATAACAGCTAGCTCTAGCTTGGAGAGGTTCATGGAGAAGAAAGAGAAATTTACACGCATCATCCGGGGTCATGCCACTGAGAATAATTATCCTGTCATCAAGGTTCGCCAGCCGCCATAGTCCTCAAGCAACCCTGCAGGTGAAAAAGAAATGGGAGAAAGACTCTGGTTCCTCCTAGCAAATGGGACAAATCGTGTTAGTAACAAGAGTTTTGGTAAATAACACAATCTGAAGTGGCAAGAAGCCACAAACTGCCCTCTAGAAGAAAATTTTCAACTTCGGTGGGACCGGAATACTCCAAAGAAGCTTCCAAAATCGGCTATCAAAAGATAGTGGCGCCGGTGGGTGTTGAAGATTATGTTCAGTGGATAAGACATGGTAACCTGTCTTAACTGTGTAACTCCCGAGAGTAGTGCCATATCAACCGATCAACTGCAGCAGAGGTAGGAAGAGGAATGGATAATATAAGTGTAACACTTTAAGGCATAAATAGAGAAACCAACAAATCCTTCTTCCATGAATGAGAAACAGGGCACATTAGTTCCAAAACTTGAGTAGGATAGAAACTCAAACCTAGCCGTAATACGAGGCATGACGAAGGAGACGAAGGAAGCCAGTGATCCTCGAAAATCCGGATCGGGGAACCAACATCGTAAGCCTCGGTGTAGCAGATTTCTCCCTTCCAATATTCCCTGCCAAGCCCATGAAGGACGGGTACCAGCTGATGCTTGAAGGAAGTGATGGTGTGGATGATATCTCGCTTTATGGATTCTGGCTAGGCAGTTGGATTGGTTGTGGAGTATACACCATGCCTGTTTAGCTTGGAGTGAAACATTAAATCGGTTAAAATCACGAAATCCAAGTCCACCCGTAAACTAACTCTGGCAGAGAGCGCTCAAAGAGATCCAATGGATGCCTTTTTCCTTGTCTTGTCCGGCCCACCAGAAGTTTGACAGCTAACTATTACACCTGCGACAAGTTTCTTGAGGGAGCCTGAATGCCAACATAGCGTAAATAGGACCAGCCGCCCCAATAGCCTTGATCACCACTTCTTTCGCCGCCAAAGACATTGCCTTAGTCTTCCAACTACGAATGTGGGCAGCCAGTTCTTCCTCAATGAATTGGAAGGACAAATGATTTCGATCGTCGTAGCTGAGATGGAGTCTCAAGCACTTGTCATCCGGGCTCATAATGCGCTCATAATGCCTACTCTAAGGTAAGAACTAATGGTCTGAAGTTCCTGGTCTGATACATTTTCACTCTCACACACAACAGACTTGTGTAAATTAACCCCTTGTCCACTATACATTTCATAATCTGATAGTAATTGGATACAATTTGCACATTTAGGAATAAAAGCTCTAACAAAAAGATAGGAATCATGTGCGCAAAATAAGTGGGAGAGGGAGGGAGATGACCTGTTAACCTTAAGGTCGTGTAGCGAGGAGTTAGTAATCTCTTGGCTGATCTAGGCAGCAAATGCTTCAATGTAAATGGCGAAAAGCAAGGGAGAAAGAAGATCGCCTTGGAGAATCCCTCGTTGTGGCTGAAAGTATCCATACTCAGTTCTGTTGAGAAGAACCGAGAAGCGAACTGTTGTTATACAGGATTTAATCCACATCATCCACTTCTTACGGAATCTCATTGATGTCATTACCTTAAAAAGAAACTCACACTCCACTCGGCCATATGCCTTTTCCATGTCCAGTTTGAGAGCCATCCGCTTATCCTGACCACAGACCTTGGTTTTCATGAACTGCATGACTTCCTGACCAATGAGTATATTATCAAATATGCTTCTTCCCTTCACGAAACCATTTTGAAAAGGACTGATAATAAGGGGAAGAATGCTACTTAACCTTGTTGCTAAAATCTTGGAGATAGCCTTACACAAAACCTGGCAGAGGCCGATGGGTCGCATTTGCCTCATGGAATCAGCATTGGCGACTTTTGAAATAAGGGTCAGCAGTGTGTGTTGACACTATGAAGAAGACGACCTATCCAGCAGAAGGACGATATCGCCTCTGAGATATCCAAGCCAATCTCGTCCCAAAAGCATTGGTAAAACCCAGCTGTAAAATTGTCCGAACCCGGGGCTTGGTGCTTACCGATGCTAAAAAAATGTATGTTTAATCTCCAAGCGGGACACCTGTGAAGTGAGTTGGACATTCATTGCAGAATTAATTTTAGCAGGCAGGTTCAAGCTATTCACAAAAGATGAGGGGTCAAAGCCATTAGAAGAGAACAAAATATGAAAATAAGAAACTAAGGCTTCCCCCTTTTACTGGTTCAACAATTTGCAATTCACCTTGGTTGTCCCGAAGAGATGGGATGATGTTGGCTCTCCTTAGTTGCTTCGTGGTCAAATGCAAGAACCGGGTATTGGCATCACCACCATGTAGCCAATTAACCCGCGCCTTCTGCTTCCAGTAGAGTTCCTCCTGTCTGTACGCCTCTGATAGCTGAGTTTCCAGTTTGTTGATCTCATTCCATTCAACCATTGCAACATCCCAAACAATGTCAATAACACCACAGATTTCTCGAATTTTGCGGGCAGAGTTGGTGGTACTAGCATTGGCCCAACCCAACAGCTCCTGACAGACATGTTTGAGCTTTGTTTGTACCTTGAATAGCGGAGTTCCACCTACTGGTTTGTGCCATGCCAATTGAAGGAGAGCAGGGACATCGGAGTTGAAGTCCCAATGTTGATCATAGTGGAAGCGTCTAACTCGGAGGGCAGCTGGTTGTACAAAGTTCAGCAGCAGTATTCGATGGTCTGACCCCCTGTCCGTAAGATGATGAACTTGCAACTCAGGCCACAAGGATAGAGCAAGATTATTAGACAAACATCTATCCAAGCGAGCTTGGATGTGGTCCCCATAAGATTGTCGATTAGACCAGGTGAATGGAGGGCCACTAAAGCCCACGTCTTGGAGTCCCCCGGCATCAAGAAAACCATTGAGTTGAGTTAAAGCTGTTGGAGTTGGGGTTCGACCTCCCTGTTTTTCAGAACTAAACAGTAAGCAATTAAAGTCACCAATGACAAACACTGGATCCTTGTACGACAAAACTAGATAGGATATTTCATGAAGTTGGAATTGACCGGGGGGGGGGGGGGTTACATCACACAGCAAATGAACAATTACTATAGCGAAGCGCCCAAGAAATTGAATGCTCGCATTCTAAAAACAAAAAGCCAGAAGACTCAATTGAAACAGAAACACCTAAACATGACGACCAGGCAATAGCTAATCCACTACTGTTATTAGACACACTATGTACACGCTCCTCAGGGAAGCCAAGACTACCAAATTGTTGGATAACAAACTCATCATCCCACCTTGTGTCGCTCAAACAAACCAGAAAAGGAGAGTCCCGCTAAATCACCTTCCGGAGTACAGGAACTATCAAGGGTGCCCCCAAACTCGTACAGTTTCAGGCTAGGATGCTCATGGATCATATTGGGGCTGATTAGGGCTGGCTGCCTCCACCCTAATGTCCTGATTTGCAGTAGCAACTTGCTCCTGAGGTCCAAGATGAACCCTTTTTGCCTTTGGTTCAGTAGGATCGTGCATCACCAAGTCAGTCTGCTGAAGTGTTTCAGATGGAGAGCCCGGAGAAGCAGAAATGTGCAGCCGTCGGAGATGAGTAGCCATAACCCGTTGAGGAGAGGATTCCTATCGAGCAGTAACAATTGAATGAGAAACTTCTCAAAGATCCATGGAGTTCCTGAGAGGATGTGCTGGGCGGTCTCAGAATCCTGGAGAACGAACTGGAGAAGATCCCATTCCACTACCGCAATTGAAAAGTTGCACTTCCAGACCCTGCCAACAATCGATCTCAGTGTTGAAATCGAGGGGAGCAGATCGTATAGACGACCGATCAAGGTTTGATCAATTCGTTGGGCACC